AAGGTTTTCACAGTGACAACAGATAATGGTAAGAACATGCAAAAGGCTGTTAGGGACTTAAAACAAACCATAGAAAACATAACATGGCAACCGTGTGCAGCACATACCCTTCAATTAGTGATCGGGAAAGGATTGGAACCAGTTAAGGTTCTGGTTGGCCGTGCTAAGCGCATGATTGATTTCTTTTTAAGACCAAAGCAATCCGAGCGCCTGGAAGATATACAGAAACGATATGCAAGATCAAATGAGGTTTAAAAGTTTTTTATATTTTATTTATTTATATTGAAGTTACTAATTTATTTTGTATTTTTAAGGAATAATTCGTGGTATGTTTATTTGATTTTTTGTATATTTGATATAATTTATTAACTGGGTAATGTATTTAGGATGCTAAAAAGACTTCAACGTATTTGAGACACGTGATAGCAGATGTGCCAACTCGTTGGAACTCTAGCTACTTGGCATGGTGTCGTCTCTTGGAACTGGAAAAGTATATTCTTTTGTTAGAGATCGAATTAGCCAAAGATACAAATCCTGATTCTAATAAAGATGCAAAGTATTTGACCAAAATAATGTTAACAAAAGATGAATGGGAATTGCTCCGTAATTTGATTCCGATTTTGGGTCCTTTTGAAGAGGCGACTAAATATCTTGGTGGTAGCAAATATGTTACTTATAGCACGATGAATCCTATAATGATACACATCATTAACATGCTCAAACCCGTATTAATATCACCAGAGGAAATAAATGTTGAAAGCATCAAGGATATTTTTGTAGAGCTTGAAATTTATGATGATGATAGTGATACATCTAAAAAGATAGATTTGAATAGGCCTACACAAACACTTGGAGTTCTGGAAAAAGTCAAAGAGACTTTGTATCGTGCCATGCGTTTTTACTGGAAAAAGGATAATATCGAATCCTATTTACCTTCTATTCTAGACCCTCGTGTTAAAAAGTTTGATTTTGCACCTGACAAGATCAAACAGGTTCAGGATCTGTTAAGAACCAGATATCAAAATGCAAGAGATAATACAACAACCTCAACACCTACTGTTAACATTTTGTCATTTCACAACACTACTGTTTCTCCGTTTTACAAGCCAACGCTTTTGAATATCTTTAACAACACATCACCTCTTAATTCACAGAGCGAGCTAGAAGAATATCTTGCGGTTCCACAGATACCTTTTGGTTCGGACCCCTTCACCTGGTGGAAGATTAATAAGGAAAGATTTCCAGTCATCAGCAGGTTAGCGCGTATTTACCTTTCTGTTTCTGCTACATCCACCCCTTCTGAAAGGTTATTTTCGGACTGTGGCAACTTGTTGGGGCCTAAAAGAACACGTATAAGCCCCGAATTTTTTAAAAGATTGGTATTTTTAAAAAGAAATTATAACGTTTTAGATAGTATTCATCCATTGTCATAGTATATATTATAAAGATACGATTTAAAATTTATCAAATAACAATTATTTATATTTGGAAAAACGTAAATAACTTACTACTTTAAATTTTGTTACATATAAAGATTAAATTTTATTTTAATAATAACTTAATTTGTTCCTATTATAATTACATATAAAAATCTTAGATTTCCATAAATTTAAAAACGGCATAAAATCTTATAATTAAAACCACTTACCGTAAAACACAATCAATGTAAAAGAATATCAATTTTTAAAAACTTGAAATCGGTAGGGAAATTATTTAGATCTTGTTGTTCATTGCTATATAAATCTTAATAAAGTCTACTACCATTAAAATTATTGGTGTTTGGGTTTTTAGTAAATTTAGGATCAATAGTTCAACTCTGAAATAATCATCTCGCCACGATTTAAAAGTTTCGCATAAGTACTCAGCTGTTGGATGAACCCTTGGATCTTGATGCCAGTATTTTTTTTCAAAGGTATCCATAGGTTTATTAACACATTCTAGAATTTTTTTCGTGTCATATACAGTAGCTTGCTAGTATACATTTCTTGAGAATGGATTTGTTTAATCGGTTCTAATTTAATCTTATTAGCTTCTGAAAATTGTTTTTTGATTTCATCATGTTCCATTTCTTCTAACCAACGAGCGATTATTTCAATAATTTCTGCTGTAGTAGGTCGTTTATCAAGATCTTTATCCATACATTTTATAGCTAATTTAGTATCACAATCTGGTTCTAAATATTTAGGTCTCGAATTATTGATAAATTCTACTGCCAAATAACCAAATTCAATTCCATCAAATGGCTTTACCAGTCAATACCTCTGCCATGATAACACCAACCCATAAATATCTGTTACTTGTGTGTGGGACTGGACTATCAAAATCTCAGGTGCTATATATGGTAGAACTACATAAAATTTCCTTCTTCCATTTTTTTAGAAAGTCCAAGATCA